CGCAGCGGGTCTCTGGGCCAGGCTACCCCTGCCAGCGTCCTCCACGAACCAGCACTCGACCGCCGTGTGTCCTGCCGAGGCGGCAGTCACCAGGCCTGGGGGAGAGGACGCCCGTGATGCCACGGCCAGGGCTTGGAGCGACCCGACCCAAGGTTGTCAGGGGCCTAGTGGGACCACGCCCCCCCTCCCGCGTCCCTCCAGTAAGACTACCGACCCCAGAGGGCCCACCGCCCCCTAGCATTCCCCCGGTGGGCCCACCGCACCCGCACGTCCCACCTGTGGGACCACCTGCCCCCCGCCTCCCCTCGATGGGACCACAGCCCCCGCGCCCCCCTCCGTGGGCGCACCTGCGCCCCGCGGTCCCCCAGTGAGACCACAGCCCCAGCCCCGCGCGTCCCCCCGGTGAGAGCACCTGCCCCGCGCGTCCCTGGATGGGTCCACCTGCGCCCCACGATCCCCCGGTGGGACCACAGCGTCCCGCGCGTCCCGCAATGGGACCACTACCCGCCTCCCCCACACGGGCTACAAGACAAGTCTCCAGCTTTGCTCACCCAAACCCACAGCCAGGAGCAGGGCGGCGGGCTCCATGGCGCGGGCTCCTCTCCACTACCCCAGCCTCCCCTTCCTCTTTCGCTTTCCCTTTCGCTTCCGCCCAGGCCGAGGGAGGAGCCGCGCCGCGCCAGCCTGCGCTCGGGGCCGGGTGAGGGCGAGCCCAGGCGCGTGCATCCCCCACGGGCCACCCGGAGTCCCCAGTCTCCCCTCTCCACCCCTTCCCCACCGAGTCCTCCCAGCTCTTCCCGGAGCGCCTAGCCCCGCCCCGCCCCTAGACTCCTCCCTCGGGTCTCCTCCCAGCAGCACTTTTCCTTCAGCTTTCTCCCACCAGGGCCTGGTCCCTAGCAAACAGAGGGGTTGTCAGAAGCCAAGTGAAGTGACCAATAAATATTTTAATCACTGTTTAAAAAAAACCTAAAACCTGTACTACAGCTTTCACTCCCTTCTAATCTACACCCATTTCCTCGGGAGAACTGAGTTAGGAAACCCCAATGGAGGTGTGTAAGGTGATATACAAATAGGGGTGTATCATGTGGGAGAGGATAGGTTCCGTGAGACTCAGGAGGCCTGGGCCCCGGCCAGGGAGCCGGTGGCTCACACTTGTAACCCTAGCTGTTCAAGAGACTGAGATCTGAGGATCACAGTTTGAAGCTAGGCCAGGCAGGAAGTCCATGAGACTCTTATGTCCAATTAACCACAAGAAGCCATAAATGGAGCTGTAGCCCAATAATATAGAGCTAGCCTTGAGCTTAAAAGCTCAGGGATAGCACCCAGGCCCAAAGTTCAAGCCCCAGGACTGGCAAAAATAAAAAAAAGGCCTTCTCCCACAACACAAACACAGACTTCAGGTACAGACTACTACAACCTGACTCATGACCCTGCAACTCCAGGATGCTCCAAACACCCCCTCCCACTCCTCTCTCCGTGTTTCCCCTTCTCTGTAGAGCTGGGGCTTTGGGCTATAATGGGGATACCTTGGGAGAAAGGGGCTGAGTGGAATGAGCTGTTGATAATGAAACATGGTTTCCTCTCCAGAATATGTACAAGTCCATAGTGATAAAGACAGTGTGATGGGAGATCATCCAGGGATCACAGCACCCCTGGAGTGGGCTCCCCATTCCCTCTTCCCCAGAAGTTACCCCAATCGTCAGTCAGTTCGCTCCTCCACCTCCATTGAAACCCATCTCCACCTTGTGGACACTTGGTGGGGACCAGACACGTCTGTTGGGTGGGGGTGTGGCCCCACTTGCCTCATCGCCACTGGCCCCACCCCCTCCAGAGGACTCTCTCTTGGGTTGTAAGGTTGGCCCTGTGGACACCCCGGGGCCAGGTATGCCCCCAGCTCCACCCATTCGGTGCCTTCGCTCACAGTGTCCCCGGTGACGCATGAAGCTATCTCGCCACATGAACTTCTTGGCGCAGACACCACACTCGTAGGGCTTGAGACCTGTGTGTGTCTTCATGTGCTCTGTCAGATGGTGCTTCATTTTGAACTTCTTGTTGCACACGGGGCAGTCAAAGGGCCTCAGGTTGAGATGCATGTTCACATGCCGATCGCGCATGCTCTTGTGGGAGAAGGCCTTCCCGCAGTGGCACAGAAAGATCTTATTTCCATCCCCACTTCCCGTCCCTCCTGCTGCCCCGCCATTGCCACCTGGCATGCCCAGGCCTGCTGTTGATGCGCCCCCAAGCGTCACAGCCCCATGTTCTGCTTGGTTCCCTGGCGGCTGGCCTGGAGCCTGTGAGGAGGAGGAGGAAGATGATGGGAAGACCAAGATCTGGTTGCCCTGCATGTCCAAAGGGAGGAGGGGTCGTGGAGGGTGTGTGGGGGCATAAGAGGAAGGGGTGGGTCCCCCTGAGTCATCCAGCCCTGCCCCAGGACCCCCACTCTCATAGTGACCAAAGTCATTGGAGGATTCACAGAAGTTGACCTGCTCCTCCCCCTTGTCTGGAGGCTCAGTCAGGGTTCGGACATCACTGATACTGAGAGTAGCCTCAGGGCCTCCCCCTGATAGAACCCTAGAGCCACCCCCCAACTCTTCATCCTCATCATCCTCACAAGTCAGCACCAAGTCTTCCTCCTCTTCCTCCTCCTCTAGCTCTGGGTCTTGGGGAACCAAAGGTGCTGGTGCAGGGCAATTTCCACCCCGTTTAACATACACCCAGTGTTTCTGTGGCACGATGCTGGTAGGTGTATAGGCAGGCCTCCGGAGCCCAGCCCCAGGGACCATTGCCCCTCTCCCATCCGTGCCATCATCACACAGTTCATCTGCCTCCAGCAGCAGCTTCCCAGAAGTGGCAGCCCCACTACCAACCACAGGGGCCGGGAATACTGGGCCACCTCCTCGCCGCTCCCCACTGCCTACTGCAGAAGCTGCAAATGCCTCTTGGGAAGAAGATGAGAAATCAGTAGACTCCCGAGGGCTGAAGTAGTTGCTGCTGCTGGGAGACTGATTCTCACTGGCCCGGCTGGAGGTATGGGAGCGCACAGAGCCCATGCTGGCAGGGGCCACAGGGCCCCCACTCCCTGATGGGACACCAACACCAGGTACAGTGACAGAAGTGGCTGCAGTAGTAGTGATGGTGGTAGTGGCTGAAGCTCGGCCTTCTCGGAGGAGTTCAGTGCACTTGTCCACAATGTGCCACATTTGGAGCACAGATCCCACAGTGAGGAAGTTGACAATGTCAGCAGCAGCCATGCTGAGCCGGCCAGTGTAGGCAGAGGCTAGGACGGTCTCAAAGGCACCAGGATCCATGACACTGGGTAGTGAGATGGAGGTCATGCCCTTGAGTAGGACCTGGTCGTGGAAGTACGGAGAAGAGGCAGCCAGAACAGCTCGATGAGCCCGAAACTCCCGTCCCTGCACTCGAATGGACACATCACAGAGTTGGCCCTGCAACCGTTGTTGATTAAGGGACTCCAGGAGAGCACTGGTCACCTCTGGGAAGGACACGTGTACCACTGCAGCTGCTGGCAGGGGCAGTGGGGGTGGAGCCAGAGAGAGGGGCAGGGGGAGTGCTGCCCCACTGGGTGACAGAGGAGATGGCTCCATGTTGTGAAAGGAGAGGATTAACCCCCCCCCCCCAGCCACAGGAACAAAGGAAAGAGAAGGGCGGCCGGGGGGGTCTCTGGGGAGAAAAAAAAAGAGAACAACATTTTGTAAATGTCCACTACAGTTCAAAAGCATATTCATACCACTCTTCTAAGTAACTTCCCATAACAAGGATAGGTAAATGCCTCAACCCCATTTGACAGGTAAGTAAACTAAGTCTGAGAAAGATTAAGCTTATCCAAGGACATTCAGCTAACGAGTGGCAATGATCTTTCCCTTAGAGGTTAGAAATAAGACGCTCTTAGGGAGCATCTTGGAATTACACCCTATTTACCATTTGCTTGACTCCGACTTTTCAAAATCCACCTTTGGGGTGATTTATACTCTACTTGGGAGGGTGGCAAATCTGCTCCTCTACTGGAAACCAGCCCCGATTCCACTTCTTCTAAAGTGATGCCCCCCAGCGATGTCACAGACCACGCCCCCTCCACCCACAGCGCACCACTAACCACGCCCAAGAAAGTCCGCCCCGCCCCGCCCCAGGTCATTTCGACCCGCCCCTTGTCTACCCCCCCCCGCCTACACTGGACCCCGCCTCCCCTGCCCCGCCCCGCGCGCTACCACGGCCTTTTCTCCCACCCGGAAGGTGCCCCCAACCCCGCGCGTCCCCGCTTACCGGGCCGCGCGCCCCGGGGCCCACCCCCCCGCCCCTCACTCGGCGGCCAGAGCTGCAGCCTGGGCCCCTCCCGCCGCCATCTTGCGCCGACTCCCTCCGCCCGCCTCCTCCACTCCTCCTCCTGCCCCACCGACATTAAAGGCAAAGGCAAACACCCCGCCCGTGCAGCTGCGCAAGATTCTGCCGACACAGCCACTTCCCCTTTAAGGAATAATCGCCTCATTCCACCTTAAAGGTACCAGGTCCCCTCTTCCACTGTGGGCCCAGAACTTGGTTTGGTAGAAACTTTCATTCCCCTTTAATTCCGTAACCCTGCCTTTTCCCACCGGCGACGGGTTCTGGCCTTTGCTCCTCAGGCCCCGCCTCCAAGCTGTGGCCTCCAGCTGATTTGCAGGATCACATAACCCCATGCCCAGCCTCTTAACATTCCCCCTAAAGCCCCACCTCCTTCCTCCGGGCCTGGATTGGCCAAGTAATCTTGAGCCAGCCCCTGATTGGCCTTTTCATTCCTAACCCTTGAAGAAAAGTAAAGTGAGTTAAAAGAAAGCCAAAGCACTTTTCTTTTTTTAAGAGCCTGATGTAGGGGTCCAGACCCAAGGACATTTTAAGATGACACAAGCTATGAAGGATAGTTCCCAGGCTGCTCTGGGACCTGGGTTATACCTAAGCTAGGGGAACAGCTGAAACACAACTGTAACCACAGAAGGACAAGACAGAAATACAATAAGAAAAAGTTTTATTATTTATTGTTTCTGTGTAAAACTTAAGCTTAAGCTTTTGATTTTTTAAAGAAACCACCAAAAAAGAATTAGATCAGTCCATCCCTTCCTCAAATTTATTTGCTTTCCACCATCCTCCAAATGCTATCCAAATCATTCTGGAAGGCAGGGAGAGTGGGAGGGAACTAATCAGAGTCTGAGAGCACGATGATTTCTTCTGGATCACACTGTGTGGCCACACTCATCTGCAGAGAAGTGAAAGACAGAATCAAAGAAGTCGAGAGTGTCTCAGTGGTAGAGTGCTTGCCTTGCATGCATGAGACCCTGGGTTGGATTCCTCAGCACCACATAAGCAGATAAAAGCCAGAAGTTGCACTGTGGCTCACATGGTAGAGCGCTAGCCTTGAGCTGAAGTGCTGAGGGACAGTGCCCAGGCCCACAGTTCAGACCCCACGACTGGCAAAAAAAAAAAAAAAAAAGTCAAGAGTATAGGCAAAGGAGAAGAAGGAAGCATGTAAATAAATTAAAAACTGTTGCCGGGCGCTGGTGGCTCACGCCTGTAATCCTAGCTACTCAGGAGGCTGAGATCTGAGAATCGCGGTTCAAAGCCAGCCCGGGCAGGAGAGACCGTGAGACTCCTATCTCCAATAAACCACCAGAAAACCGGAAGTGGCGCTGTAGCTCAAGTGGTAGAGCGCTCGCCTTGAGCTGAAGAGCTGAGGGACAGCGCCCAGGCCCAGAGTTCAAGCCCCACGACCGACAAAAAAAAAAAAAAACAAAAAACTGCCAGACACTGGTGGCTCATGCCTGTAATCCCAGCTACTCAAGAGGCTGAGATATGAGGATCTTGGTTCAAAGCCAACCTGGGGAGGAAAGTCCATGAGACACTAATCTCCAACCAACCACCAGAAAACTGGAGTGCTAGCCTTCAGCAAAAGAGCTCAGGGACAGTACCTGGGCCCAGAGTACAAGCCCCATAACCAAAAAAAAAAAAAGCTGGGCACTGGTGATTCACACCTGTAATTGTAGTTATTCAGGAGACTGAGATCTGAGGATCTTGGATCAAAGCTAGCCCAGGGAGGAAAATCCATGAGACTCTTATCTCCAATAAACCACCAGAAAACTGGAAGTGGCAAGTGGCTCAAGTGGTAGAGTGCAAGCCTTGAGCTGAAGAACTGAGCAGGATGGTGCCCATGCCCAGAGTTCAAGCTCCACAACCGACAAAAAAAAGGAAAAAAAAAAGAAAAAAAAAAAAGAAAAAATGTTTAAAACTAAGGTGGGAAAAACGGAAATAAGATGTGACAAGTGTTCCAGACAGAGGGCCTGAAACAATGAATGGTCAAGAAAAAGACTACCCCTCTTACCTTATAAGAACTGGGTTGAAGAGCTTGTGATTGGGGAACTTGGGACATCTGGGCTGGAAAAGGGCTGCAGAGGGAGCTGGTCACCAGGCCATGGCTAGGAGAGTCCACCCTTGTAGAGGAATCAGCAACTGGAACCATAGAAGCCAAGGGGGAAGGTGGACTAGACAGGGTACATACTGTCTTCTTCCCATTCTTCTCCTGTAATGCCTTTTGCTCTTCCACACAGCTAAGAATAAAATGCAAACACATGGAGGGATGTGAGAAGCCTAAATCTAGGAGAGTATCCAATCTCTCCCAGAAGCCTCAATCCTTCAATATTCCTCAGAAAGTCCCCTGAAATCCCTTCTCTGCTTCCCTTTTCCTCCACCTGTTGTTACCTGGTTTTTAATGGTCCTATTCCTGTTGGCTTCTCCTTGCGAGATTTCTTGCAGGGAGGACTGGAATCTCCCCAAGCATGAGGAGAGACACCTCCATTGAAGGATGTGGAGGAGACCATGGCTGCCCCATTCTCCAAAACAGTACTGAGGACATCCTCTGATTGCTTTCCAGAAGAGGAAATATCCTTTTCCTCAGGGGAGGGGGTAGTATCCACTGGTAAAGTTTCAATTTCTAACTCAAAGAGCTGAGACTTAGGACTCTCTTCCTCTAGGGGAAGCTTTTCATACTGTTCTCCACTGCTTTCAGCATCTATGCTGGAAGGATTCAGGGGTTCTTCCAACAGTGAAGCCGGTGACGCTGTGAGTTCTTTATTTTGCAGTTCTTCCGAAGACCTGTTGTTCTCTTTGCTGGGCTCCACGTTTTCAGTGGAGGTCTGTGATGGTGACATTGGGCTTTTGTTTCTACTATTACCTAGGGAAGAAGAAAAGAGGAGAGGAGTGACATGAGGACTGGGGGAGGGGAGACTACTACTGCAAAGGAACTAGGAGTAAGAAGAGAAAGGAAAGAATCTCAACAGGTGCTCATGCTCAACAGGGTAGAATTGACATAGATGTTCTTCTACAAACCTCCTCTTTCCTCCTCCTCCTCTTCTTCTTCCTCCTCTTCTTCTTCCTCTTCCTCCTCCTCTTCATCTTCCTGACATTCCTGTATCTGTTCTAGATCATCCTCGTCTTCGGAATCTGTGGCTTCTTCCTCTTCCTCTTCTTCCTCTTCTTCCTCCTCATCACTTTCTTCATCTTCCTCATCATCAGTGTCAGCCTTGGAGGTAGGCGGGCATTCTTGGGATGCCATTCCACTAGGGCCCTGAGAGACAAAGGAATTTCCCTAAGAAATCCCTTGCCCCAGAGTTTGGTTCTTATATTCCTTCTGTGCACTCCCCCATCAAACACCCTGGAATCTCTGGTGGTCAGAAACAGAGACAGAGAGAGAGAGAGAGAAAGTGTGTATGTGTATGTGTGTGTGTGTGTGTGTGCGTGTGCGTGTGTGTGTGCAGGCAGATGGGGAAACAGTCTCCCTTCCACACCTCACCAGAATCCAAGGAGGCTTTGGGGGAGTCTGGAGATTGGGAGGAAGTGCCTTGGGAAAGCCGAGCTCTTCGCTTCTGTCTCTCCCCCTCCTCACTTTTGTCTTGCATCACTGCATATTTGGAGATGACTTCATCCAGTCGGCTCATTGCTAAGTTTCGGTTTTCTCGAAGGCGCCTGGCCAAAGCAGGATCTGAAAGTGCTGGGTCAATACCTATGTGGAAAAATACAACAGTCAGCTCAAACCTGAGGGGACTAGGGCAATGCCCCCTCTGCCACACATCTACCCTGAAGAGTTATTGATGGGCATCCCACTAGCCTCCTACCTGGCCTATAGTCATCTGTGAGGTGACAGCCAAAGTTGTAGATGAGATCAAGGTGGCGGCGCTCTTGTAACCTAACACCAACATCACGGAAGGCATCCTGAGCCAAGAGCTGAAGCTGCTGTCGAGGAAGGCCAAGGCTGTGCCGAGCAGCTGCCTTCTCTACTGCTCGAAGCACATCTCTATAGTCAGGGAAAGTATCAAGCCCTGGCTTGTTGATGAGCCGTTCGATGCGCCTATTAACCTCTGGATAGCGGGTGCCCCGGTAAGGTATTCGCTGCTCAATGACACGGCCAGTCAGAGAAGAGCAGTCTTTCAGCTCACACAGGCGGCCAAAGAGGCGGATAAGCTTCCGCTTCAATCTGGCCTCTTGCAGGTATGTGGAGTCTGGATCATCCAATTCTGACAGATCCAACTCCTTTTCCTGTAGCCGCTTGATCTCTGCCACATAGAGTGCCAGCAACTGCTCCAAGCGCTGGATCTGCCGTCGGGAACCACGGGTCCTTGGGGCCTCAGAGGCAGAGGCTTCAGCATGTGTGAGGTTTGAGGAGTCTGTGGGAGGGTTATTCTCAAAGGGCTCACTGGAAGTGGTAGCAAGAGGGGCCAGGTTCAGCTTCTTCTTGGCAGAATGGGCCTTAAGAACAGTGCAGAGTTCATTGATATACACATACAACTTAGCTGGCCGACTCCTGGCCCGGGAGAGGACCCGGGAAAGGATGTTGCAGAACTCTGCTGAGGCCAAAAACAGAGACTGGGCCCGCTGCTGCCGGTTAGAGAGGAATTGGACCACCTCAGGGTGGTCTGCTGTCTGCGTCTTACACAGTTCAAGGAACTGCAGAGTTCAGGGAAAAGAAGGGGGAAAGAGACAAGGGAAAGAGTTGAGAGAAAGAAGGTAAGCTGGGGTTAGTGGGGAAGACAGGACCAGAGAGCAAGCCAGTCAACCATCCCCCTCCCTGGAGTACAAGAATCTCCTCCCGTGAAGCTCACCTCTTCAAACAGCTTCTCATTCTCCAACTTGTAGCATTTCTTGCCGCCAGAACTACTATTTCCTTCAGCTCCAAGGGGCTCAGAAGAACCAGGGGCTTCTGCCTGCGGTGAGCCAAGGGCTTCTGCCTGAGGTGAGCCAGGACTCAGGGGTGGGTGGGAGGGCCCTGGCTGAGCAGCTGCTTCATCTTCATCATCATCATCCAGCACAATGATGCTGTTAGCGGTGGCCATGGGGGATCAAATTCCCCCGAGGGAGGAAGTGTTGGGGATTTCAGATTTCCTGCTAGAAGGGGATGGGGACCTCAGAAAGAGCCCCTCCAGCATCACCCCATCCCTTTGTAGTTTATGGTCCTCTTGGGGTTCAAGCCCAAAGGTGGACGTCCTCTCACTGCCCAGTTTCAGGAACTACTTCTTTGTGCTTTTCCGGTCCTTCAAGTGTAGGATAGTGATGAGCCTCCCAAACCGTAAGTCCCCACCTCCTACTCCACCCCCCACGTCGATTTCCGGTCTTTCAGTTGCGTTTCTCAAAGTTGGTTTTTACTCCCAACCCTAATACCAAGTCTCAGACCGCAACCCAAATTCCCGACAAGCCCTTCCACACCCCCTGTCGGTGTCACCTCACACGCTTGCCCCCCTCCGCTCTTAAACCAGGAAAACCCTCCACATTCCACCCCATAAATTCACTCCCAACTCCAAGTCTCGGAAGTTCCCTCCCAGCAATCGGTTCTCCTTACTCTTAATTATCTCCATTATTTCACCCTCCTGACGGCTCCCCTCAAACCTGGCTTGAGGCTGGAGATTTTTCATCTCAAGTCCCCTCCCTGTCACCCCACCCTATTTTCCCCATTTTTTTCTGACTTGTAGCCGACCGGGGGCCTTCTTCTGGACTCTTCCTGATTCCTCTTGATACCAACCCAGTCGGACCGGGCCAGTGTTCAGAGCTTCCCGCCAAGTCCCCTCCCCCAGTTCAGCCGCAGGCCACCCTGCTCCCTTTCGGACACAGCAAGGTACAACAGCTTACACCTCAGACTCAGCAACCCAGGTTTCTCTCCCAACACCTCTCCCTCAGTATTTCTCACCCCTCCTTCGCTGTCCACACGGTCAGGCCCCCACCTCAGAAACGGTCTCTCAAGGCGACCCTCGCGGCTGGTCTCAGAACCTAGCATGTTCTCTCCGCCTTCCTTTTCCTCCCTCCCACCGCAGGCCCCAGTACGGACCGGAAGTCCCAGTTTCCGCCTTTTTTGAACCAGGGTGCGGCCATATTGTCGTACGGCAAACAGTCACCTGTGGCCGGAAGTGGGATTGGGCCCGCCCACAGCATCTGAGGTTTTCTTCCTGCGGATTTGTACGGGGTGATGTTTGTCCCCGCCGGCGTCCCATAGTAGTTTGAGGCCGCCATTTTCGCGTAGGTACTGGGCTCCGCCGAGGCTCGTTCCCATAGGCTGTGAGCCTTTTTTCACCCGGTACTTCCGCGACTTGGCCAATCAGAAACTTCCTACCTCTGACCCATCCGCCCGTGAGTCAAGGGCTAGTAGGACGCAACCATGTTTCCGAGGAGGGGAGGGGGAGCCAAGCAGGATGGATTAAGAAGGACTTGGTCTTTCTAAGGCAATGCGGGATTTGGGGAAAGGAAGGAAAGTGGGAGGAAGGAAATGAGACGTTTCCCTTCTCTTGGGTGCCGGCGAGGCGTCCGGCCTTGCTTTCCTGCGCCGCGGGCTCCCTTTCCCACCCTTCCCCCCGGCGCTTACTCCTCCTCTCTAGGGCCGCGCGGGGCCGCTGTCCAGCAGCTGCCTCCCGCGACGGGCGCGGCGTCCCCCGAAGTCACACCCGTGTGCAGAAATGAGTACGAGCCGCTACGAACACGCGTTATTATGGCTATATTGACTTGCTGTCCAAGCTCCAGAACTAAAGGCCGACCGAGCCGGTGGGGCCTCCGAGGTTGGCCCTCCGCTCTTCTCTGAAGGGTCGGCGGCGCTGGCCAGGAGGCCCTTCTTTATCCCGAGGGATCCAGGGTCCAGGGCGGGCACTGGAAGGGGTGGCGGCTTCGTGGAAAGCCCGTGAAAATGGCCGTGGTGAGGGCTGAGAGATGAAGCGCACAAAATACCGGGGGTCACCTCCTCTTCTGGGAGCGCTGAGGAAAGAACGGGAAGAAGCCGATGTGATGGTTGGGGGTGATGGTGAAGGTGGGGGGGGGGGGCTAAAGGGTTTCGTGGAGGCAAGGCTGGGGCCGCCCGTGATCAGACGAGGAAACCAGCAAGGTGAACGCCTTCCCGGTCTCCAAGAATCCCACCTCTTGCATCCTTCCACATTCCACAAGTGGTGGGCACTTTGCCAGTTTCTAGGAACTCAGAATCTCTTACATTCCAGCCGTTAGCTTCAGAACCTGAAATGCTCCCTTCTATGAAAGAATCTCACATCGTATCTCCAGTGGTCTAATTAGAGAACAGAACTCTACAAAGGGTGTTACTGGGATTTAAGAGGTAGGAGGGATTTAATTTCCACATCCCCAAGTTTCCCAAATGGGTCTTGGAGTAAATCCTTGCGGTCAATGTTCTCTTTCTTTTACAGTAGACTTTCTCTCCCCACCCCTACCCCCCAGGATCTTTTTTTGTGTCTGTGTGTGTGTCAAGATGATGTACAGAGGGGTTACAGTTACATAAATAAGGTAATTACACTTCTTATAGAACTTATTACCCATTCCCTCATTTTTCTCTCAACTTTCCCTCCCCCCTCCCCCTCCCCCTACTCACAGTAGACTTTCTCTTTGGGGTCGGGAGGGTGGTTCCACCACTGGGGAAAGTGAGGCATAAATATTGTCTGGAAGCCGGGCGCTGGTGGCTCACGCCTGTAATCCTAGCTACTTAGGAGGCTGAGATCTGAGGATCGTGGTTCAAAGCCAGCCCGGGCAGGAAAGTCCGTGAAACTCGTATCTCCAATAAACCACTTAGAAAACCGGAAGTGGCACTGTGGCTCAATTCGTAGAGGGCTTGCCTTGAGCTGAAGAGCTGAGAGACAGCCCTCAAACCCAGAGTTTAAGACCCACGACCGACCAAAAAAAAAAAAAAAGCATTGTCTGGAGTTCAGCCTGGACTACACATCAAGACCTCCTCTTAAAACAACTAAAAAGCTGAGGTAGGGAGTGGGCACCACAGGTGGGACGGGAGAAGGAGGAAATGAATGAGCCTCAATTGTTTTTTTCCTTTTTATCTGAGACTTTCACGCATTGGATTGTGCTCTACCATCTGAGCTACATCTGCAAACCCAAGGGTGGATTTTCTTGCCTGAGACTGGGACTCAAACCTGGTATCACTCATTGGTGGCACTCTGCCACCTGAGCCACATCTCCAACCCTCAATTGTCACGAGAACTCAGGGCCAGGGTGCTGACCCTGAACTTTTGTGCTCAAGGCTAGCACTCTACTACTTGAACCATAACTCCACTTCTGACTTTTTGGTGGTCAATTGGAGATAAGAGTCACAGACAACAGGCACTAGTGGTTCACGCCTGTAATCCTAGCTACTCGAAAGGCTGAGATCTGAGGATCGAGGTTCAAAGCCAGCCCAGGCAGGAAAGTCCATGAAACTGTAAGCTCCAATAAACCACCAGAAAACCGGAAGTGCTGCTGTAGCTCAAGTGGTAGAGCTGAAGAGCTGAGGGGCAGCGTTCAGGCTCAGAGTTCAACCCCCACCACTGACAAAAAAAAAAAATCACAGACTTTCCTACCCAACCATTATCTTCATATCTCCTGAGTAGCTAGGATTACAAGCATAAGCCACTAGTGCCTGGCAAAATATGATTTTTTTAAAAACAAATTTTGTGTGTGCCAATATTGGGGCTTGAACTCAGAGCCCAGGCTCAAGACTAGAGCTCTACCACTTGAGCCACAGTGCTACCTCAGGCTTTTTTATATTTATGTAGTACTGAGGAATCAAACCCAGTGCTTCATGCATGCTAGGCAAGCACTCTACCGCTAAGCCACATTCCTAGCCCTGTCCCTTAGCTTTTTCACTCATGGCTGGTGCACTACCACTTGAGTCACATCTCTACTTATGCCTTTTTTTTTTTTCAGTTTAATTAGAGATAAAATTTTCAGCCTTTCCTGATTGTCTGCTTTTGAGCTGCAATCCTTAGATCTCAACCTCCTAAGTAGCTATGATTACAGGTATGTTACATCAGTGATCAGCTCTGTTTTATACTTTAAAGTACTTACAAAAAAAAGGGCTCTGAATGTTCTCAGCACAAGGAAAATTATAACTGAGGTGATGGATATGTTAATTGCCAAAATTTGATCAGTGCACATAATATGCACGGGTCAAAGTATAACATCCATTCATATCCATGAATGTTTAAAATTATTTTTTGTTATTTTGTTCTAAAATACGTACTTTTTCAAAAATGATTACCCAGCATAGAGGTACAGAAAGGGTAGTAAACTACAGCCATAAAGCTATCCAAGTGTCCCAGAGCCCCCAGTAGTCTTATTTTCCTCCAGTCTCCCATCTCACCTCAATGGCAAGGAGAGAGGATGTTTGTACGGAGATTGTCACAATTCCAGTTCCTCTTCCTCCTGAGGTGTCCTCAGGAGCCAGTCCCCAAACTTTGCCCATGGTAGCAGCCACAGCAGCTTGTAAGTAGCCTCTAGCATCAGCAGTGACAGGAAGAGGACCAGGAAGATAAAAAAGACTTTGTCCAAGGCGCGGCGCAAGGGACCCCTAGGAGGAGTGGGAACCTGGGAAAATGCCAAGAACACATCCCCTTCATCCACACCACCTTCCTCCTCTGCCATCTTCCCCCTCTATCTGACAGCTGCTGGATCAGTGAGGCTGAGATGAAAGCCCTGGCTCAGCACTGCCAGGATTAAGGGGCGTGGCTAGACTGAGTCCCACTCCAACCCAGCCTGACCCTAATTCCAGCCCTGTGGAAGAAAGACCTTGGAAACAATTATCATCCCGTATGATGTGAAATGTCAACACCAAATGATGAAGATTGCTCAGCTTGACCATAATATCATTCTGAAGTTTGAAAACAGTAAATGCAACATGGAGACATAAAGTGGAGATGTCAGTTATTATAGGTTTTCTAGGCTTATGTGTCAAAGTTCCTGTAGATAAGAGAGTGAAGTCAGGGCTAGGACCATGGCTCAAGTGGTAGAGCTCCTGTTCAGCAACCACAAAGCCTTGAGTTCAACCCCAGACTGCCGGGGGGGGGGGGGGGGGGGGGGGGGGAGGCAAGTCAACCAAGGATCTAATGCTATTTGGGATTTACAGTGGTAGTCCTAAACCAGGAGGTTAGTTCTCCTATAGTTCAGGGGTGTGTGGGGGTGGTGGAAGTTAGAATACTAAAACAGCATTCCTTTCCTAATTTCTAGTCGCTATGGTGCTGGGGCAGGATTATAACTGGACAATGGGAACCCCAAAAGTTTACAAAAAGTGAAAGACCATGACCGTTCAGAGGGACAAGGATTGGGGCTGGATTTAGAGAATTGTGAGGACAGAGGTGGTGTATCCTTGGTGCCACCAGACTTTGCTGGTGGGATACACAGTGGACAATAGTTGTGGCACCTGAATTTATGCTAATGAAGAGACATAGAGGGCTGGAAAGGTGGCTCAGAGGTAGAGTGCTTGCCTTGCATGCATGAGGCCCTGGGTTCGATTCCTCAGCACCACATAAGTAGAAAAAGCTGGAAGTGGCGATGTGGCTCTAGAGGTAGAGTGTTAGCCATGAGCTGAAGAGTTAAGGGACAACACCCAGGCCCAGAGTTCAGGCCCCACGACTGACAAAAAAGAGACATAGAGTGGGATCTCTAGATAGCTTCAGCCACCAAAATGACAAGGGATTTGAGGATTAGGAAGTTGAAACTCTCAATCTCTAACAAGTCCAAGGGAATTTAAGTACGGTGGCTGAAGATCAAGCTCTGTAAAAGCTCTTGAATAGTTTCAGGCACTTGTAGCTCATACCTATAATTGTAGCTACTCATTAGGCTGAGATCTGAGAATTGTGGTTCAGAACCAGCCTGGGCAAACAAATCCACAAGATTCTGATCTCTAACCAGCAAAAAGCCAAAATTGGAGACATGGTTCAAGTGGCAGACCATCAGCCACTAGTAGAAAAAGCCAAGTAAGAACATAAGACTCTGAGTTCATGCTCCAGTACAAGCATACACACATACATGCAAAGTGTTTGTTTTTCTTTTCACCTGAGGCTGTGGTATAGATAAGTGGTAGAGTGCGTGCTTAGCATGCAAAAGGCCCCGGACTTTCCTGCTCAGACTGGATGCAAATTGTGATCCTTAGATCTCAGCCTCCTGAGTAGTTAAGATGACAGGAGTGATTCACCAGTGCCCAGCTCTCCCTTAGCTTTTTTGCTCACGGCTGGTGCTCTTCCAGCACCTGACTTGAAAATATTTTGCAATCAATTAATGAACCAATGTTAAATGAAAAGCTTACAAAAGTGGTATTTCTCAATAGTCCCAAGACACAGGTGTGTTCAGAAGTGGCCAGAGGTGACCAGAGGTGGTTGTATACTCCTCTGTCTCAAGATTAGTTGGGTGGAGTCTTGTTCCAATGGGAGTCATTGACTCTTGGCAGAAGGTCTGCCCTTTCCTGGCTGCCAAGATGGCTGCACATTGAGTAAGTGCAGGGAGTATGGCTCAGGGCAAAGGTGGAAGAGTCTGGGATGTCTAGTCTTTCTCCTGTGAGCTAGAAGTAAGGATACTGGGTCTAACTGTCACCATCTTAGCCATGTGGTGGATGATAGGGAATTGGGTTTAACTGGAGCCATCTTGTCTTCATGGTAGAGGCAAGGAAGTTCTACCCCCAGATGATGAACATGCCTGAGTTCCTAAAGGCAAGGCGGGGACTTGGACTGCAGGTTATTGGACCTGTCAGTACCTTGAACTTGGGGGATTCTCCAATTCCTGTGACCCTGACCCCTACCTCTGCCCAGATTTAGGCCCAGATCAGCTCAGGTACCATTACACCATGCTTCATATCTCCTGGCTTGTCTCTGGTCACCATGGAGTCACACTTCAGCTCTGCACTGGAGCTGAATTGGCTTGTTGGTATTGTTTTTGTTATTTCTTTCCTCGTTAGCATGTTTCCTAGCTGTGTTATAATGTATTTGCGTGCTGCAGGTCTTTGTAACAACTGGTGGCCTGCAGCCTGTCAACTATTAGAGTTATTATACAAAGACTCCAATATTCTATATTTTAAAATGTGTCTTTTGAGATGATTTAACTTACAACAAGATCTGAGGATCATGGTTCAAAGCCAGCCCGGGCAGGAAAGTCTGTGAGACTTTTAACTCCAATAAACCACCAGAAAACCGGAAGTGGTGCTGTGGCTCAAGTGGTAGAGCACTCGCCTTAAGCTGAATAGCTGAGGGACAGCCCAGGCCTAGAATTCAATCCCCATGACTGACAAAAAAAAAAAAAAAAAAAAGAGAGAGAGACAGAGAGACACAGGGAGAGAGAGAAAGAAAGACCAGAGAGAGAGAGAGAGGAAAGCCAAAGAAGTAGCGAGATTCTTTGCTTGAAGATGGAAGAATGCAGTTGAATCCCCCAAAAGGGCAGTTTTCTTAGTACTGGGATCCTCCTCTATCCCCTGGCTTTGCTCTGATTGTTTATGTATGTGCCACCTCCCAGCTCTTTTCACTGGTTAAGCAGGCATCTCGAGCATCTTGGGAAGAAGCATTTGAGCAGAAACCTGAGGAACTATGGGAACAAGAAGCACCATGATGGTACAGATGTAATCTGCAGTGTTATGTCTGCCATGCTTTATCCATATCTACCTAACAATTCCCTTCTTTTTCTCAAAGCCAAACCCTCTAAAATGATTTTCCTGTCCATTTTTCCAGGTACAAGTGATTTTTTTTTTTTCTGTGAAGTTAATGATGCTTGAACATCCCAAGTTCCTTGCTTGTTTTCTCCCTCCATCAGACCTGGACCTAATTCTGTACTAGTACTTTTTGTGTGTGTGTGTGTGCCAGTACTGGAACTTGAACTCTGGGCCTGAGCACTAGCCTTTAGCTTCTTTGCTCAAGGCAGATACTCTATCACTTGAGCCATAGCTCTACTTCTGGTTTTTAGTGGTTAATTGCAGATAAATGTTAGGTATGTGGAGGGGAATGGCTCCTTCCCTATTGTTCTCCGTGAATACACACTTGGTCCCTTCCCCAGAAGTCCTTGCCCCCACTCAGGTAAACTGGCACACTTGGGGGCAGTAGGAGATTCCCCTAGGCTCTGAGGTCTTTGCTGCAGCCAGCCCCTCATATATCATTTTCCATCATTAGGTTCCATTTTTGCCCCTGGCCCCTTTGCAGCCTTTCTCTTGCCCCTTGCCTCTCCCCCTCCTTTCCCTTCTCTTTCCCTTCCCCTGTATCCCTTATACCGCCTGCATACCTCCATCTTGTGTAGGCCAACAATATGCTCTCCCTCCAATAAACTCTTTTCTGCCTGCACCATGCGGCAATCTCCTTTTGGTGAACCTTATAATAAGAGACTCATGGATTTTCCTGTCTGGTCTGGCTTTGAACTACAATCCTCAGCTCTTAGCCTACTGAGTAGCTAGGATTACAGGTGTGAGCCACTGGTACCCAGCAGAATTGGTAGTTATTTTAATATTCTTTTTCTTACAAAGGAACACAGAGTTGTCCAAGTTTTAGATACATCTCCTCAAAACAAGCATCTGATGTTCTTCCAGTTTCTCCCAGAGATAGTCTTCATTTACAAGACAGTTTTTATATAAGGAAGAATAGAATATGTGTGTGTGTGAGAGAGAGAGAGAGAGAATGAAAGCTCACTGTTCTCTGCTTTGATTTTTTCACCAAGTATTTAGAAATCAAGCATTTATAGGGTTATCTCCTTTTTAACCATTGAACTAGCATTTCAATATAGGGGTAAATGACACTATTCAGTGCCATTCACCATTTGATGAATAATTGAGTTCTGTTCTTTTGTCGGGGCTTGCACTCAAGGTCTGGGCACTGTCCCTGAGCGTCTTGTGCTCAAGGCTAGCACTCTACCACTTGAGCCAGTTCAGCCTTTTTCTGTTTATGTGGTACTGAGGAATCAAACCCAGGGCTTCATGAATGCTAGGCAAGCACTCTACCACTAAGCCACATTCCCAGTCCCATGAACCACAATCTTCAGATCTCAGTCTCCTGAATAGCTAGGATTACAGGTGTGAGCCATTGGTCACCTGGCTAATTGAGTTATTTTTAAACAGTATCTTACTAAGATAAGTTGCAGTGCATATCTTTTTTTTTTTTTTGGGGGGGGGAGGGGTCTGGTCGTGGGGCCTGAACTCTGGGCCTGGACTCTGTCCTTCAGCTCTTCAGCTCAAGGTAGCGCTCTACTACTTGAGCCACAGTGCCACTTCCGGCTTTTTTCTTTTTGCTTATGTGGTGCTGAGGAATCAAACCCAGGGCTTCAGGCATGCAAGGCAAGCGCTCTACCACTGAGCCACCTTCCCAGCCCATGCAATGCATATCTTTGTCTACCATTTGTCATTAGAGTGATCACACATATAAATGTCTAAATTGTTCCTTGTTTGCTTTTGTTTTTGTGCTGGTACTGGGGCTCAAATTTAGGGCCTCACACTCTTGCTTGGCTTTTTGTTGTATTGGTTGTGGGGCTTGAACTCAGGGCCTAGGCTGCCCCTGAGCTTTTTTTGCTCAAGGCTAGTGCTCTACCATTTTATTTTATTTTGGGTCCAGTCATGGGGCCTGAACTCTGGGTCTTGGCTGTCCCTCAGCTCAAAGCTCAAAGCTAGCGCTCTACCACTTGAGCCACAGTGCCACTTCCGGCTTTTTTCTTTTTGCTTATGTGGTGCTGAGGAATCGAACCCAGGGCCTCACGCATGCAAGGCAAGCGCTCTACCACTGAGCCACCTTCCCAGCCACTGCTCTACCATTTTGAGCCACAGCTCCACTTCTGGTTTTTGAGCAATTAAAATCAAAAGTTT